AGGATCCAATGATACAGAACTGAACCTTACTTCTAATGAGCAGATTATCTCTGAAAAATTACAGCGGAACATTACACAGCTGGAGGAGAGACTGCAAAACTGTCTGGAAACAACAACTACAGCAGGTACGCACACTAGATATTGTTTTATACAGATTGCATGATTAGAAGTAATATTTATATTATATTGTTTTCCAAATACTAAAGATACATTGTTCTGACTGTTAGATAAAATGGAGCATCGAAGGAATCTGTGTTACTGTGTCCTAATTTTAATAGAAAATGTAGAGGTTACCTCGTTGAGTAGAGGGGTTTCCACCGCCAGAGACGTCCTCCCCTCTGCCTCCGAGTTAATTGAGTCAACTATTGTCTTTAACTCAATTATCTCCAGGCGACAAAGAACATAATTTTAATACAGTCTGAATACACCCTCAAAACACATAATATCCCCCCAAAAGGCATATCCCCTGATAGCCCCAATCTGGGGGATCAACATATTCAAAAATCACCCAGATCAGTTCAGGGGTTCAGAATTTGTATGGAGGTCTCCTTCCCATAACTCCTTGTTTTTCTTGCTGTAAACAACCCTCAGCCCAAAAAAAAAAAAACACTCATCTCCATATTGTCCAAATAATTCAAACAACATGAAATGAAACAACGAATGCCCCTTGCAAAATTCCCAGCCTAGCAACAGGAACCTCTACCTTGCATCCCTGGGTCCATTACACTTCGATTTTCAGATTTCCTAAAATTCCTCTGATTCTGATTTCCCTAAATGTTCCAATATTGGATATGCTGCTATAGAGAGCTGGTATAAATGCTCTGGAGCTGTTTGCCAGATTGGGACTGCGTTATGATTCAGTAAATGTTTGATCGTATCTCTCTTAGAGTTTAACGAACCCGGACTGTAAAGTTCGGGTTCGTACCGAACATTACGTTTTTTGGACCCTGCACCCGAACACAGACATATCAGGGTATGTTCGGTTGGGAGTTCGGTGTTAGGTGATTTAATGGCGCGTTTTGAAAGGCTGCAGGGCAGCCAATCAACAAGCGTTTGACTCGTCTGCCCTTAGGAGCCATCACTGCCATACCTACTATGGCATGGCTGTGATTGGCCAGTGCAGCATGTGACCCAGCCTCTTTATATAACCTGGAGTCATGTAGCGGTGAACGCACATGTGCTGTTATAAGTGTAGGGAGACGATGCTGCAGCTGTGAGGGACAAATTAGGAAAGACTTCTGGTGTTGAATCTACAAACGACAGCGATTATTTTGTGGGTGCTATAATACTACAATTTTTTGCCCTGCCCTGAGCCCAGTGCCACAGAGAGTGCAGTGCACTTGCAACTGCATGTGTGCCAGGCACATTACTTTAATCCTGTTCTGAAAACTCAGTGGGCAACATCTAGGCATTTTTAAATACTGCAGTTTTTTTGGTGCTAAATAGTACATTTGCGTACTGCATTTCTTGCAGTCCAATAAAACCCTTAAATACTACTGATACATTGTTGGTCTAAAAAAATCACACTTTTTGGTGCTAAATAGTACATTTGCCGCCTGCGGTGCACTTCATATCTGAGAGTCAAATAGAACCGTCAAATACTGTGCTTACAGTGCAGTTTTAAAAATTCTAATTCTTCAGGTGCTAAAAAGTAAATTTGGGGCCTGCACTTCAAGTGAAATATAAGTGTTATTGTGATCGCTTCAAATACAGAAGCATTAATATACATTTCTATATTGTGTAAAGACACAACTACAAAGTTAAAAGCCAAACACCAAAACAACGTGCCAGACAATCTACCTGTGCATGGCTAGTGTGATACAATCAGTCTACATCTTAAAAATGCAATAACCCTCAGAAGGTGGGCGAGAATTTTCTTTTGCAAATGGAACTTTGATTCGAATTTACTACATCGGTCACTTGTAATATTGTTTCACACCTACAACACTTGTTACACAGATCTAAGTGATAGAAAACAGATTGATATTTTCTACACTAGAAACTACCAGATAACAAGCTGCTATATTTAAACCAGTGATCAATAGCTAAGAGGTACTTCAACAATATTGTAATTCTGGGGCAATACCCTCACAAGTCAAACTGAGAGGTCAGTTTATAGGGAAAACTGTTGCCTGAATACAATTCACCACACAGTCCCTCTCCAATAGCAACATGTATTTCTGTTTTATACTATTATGTTCAGTTCTCGACTGGAGTGCATAGTAGAACAAAAACAATTGCACACTGCTATATTTGGGCAGACTAGGCACAAGCCATGTGGGTCGGTCGATGACTACTCTACCAAGTACAGTTAAGCCTGAACAGTTAGTGGCAGGTGCCCCACCAGGTGATCAATAAATAATGTAGGGGGCAACAGACCCCTCGCTCCCCTTAGCAACTCCATAGATCCGTGATGGCGAACCTATGGCACGCGTGCCACAGGTGGCACACCAGGCCCTCTCTGTGGGCACGCGGCCATAGGTTCGCCATCAATGCAGAGTAGCACCTGTATGTTTGTGTGTGTATTTAGTGGACTGTGTGTGTATTTAGCAGTCTGTCTGTGTGTCGGTGTGTGTATGTATTAAGCAGTTGGTGTGTGAATGTGTTAACCAGTCTGTGTGTATTGCATTTGTTGGAGATACTAATAAATATAAGCTTAATTTTATCTATTTATATCATTATTTAAAGTTTGTAACATTGAACTCTGTTGTGTTCTTCTTTTAAAACAAAAGATGTTAACTAGTTCGGACGACTGTATGAGTTGTTTTTTCGAAACTTAAATCTCAGTATTCAGGTTTAATTGCCGTGTTGGCACTTTGAGGAAAAAAAAGTTGGCATGTATTGCGGTTTGGGTGCTCGGGCTCAAAAAGGTTCGCCATCACTGCCATAGATGCAGACACAACAGGGTATGTCATGTCAAGGCCAATTGTGGGTATGTGAATTGTGCGGCTAACAGGTCACTATGGAAACAAACAGCCGATACAGCTCTCACATTGGCTCATATATTGCATATTTTGCCAGGATAGCACAGACTTTAAATGCTCCCTTCTTATATTCCTTATACTTAGTAAATGAGTGGGAGTGATGCCACTGGGTTATCATAGCAATACTCTAATTCATTCACTAAGTGATGATTGGAAGAGCATTTACTGTGGTTTGCACCCACTGGAAGTTTACACTACACACTCCCCCCACTGAACCACTGGGAAATCCAAGCTGGGATTAACCCCCTACCTACAAACTATATAATAAGCTCCCCACGCATCTCATTCAGCCACACCTGACACACACATCACAGTTTGCCTGCCTCCACCATGCCGCTCCTCACATACCATTCAGACTGAGGCAGGGGACCATCTATAAATTCTTGCACTAAGGCCCTGTAGTTAAGAGGCCTGGTTTGTCCTTTTAAAAGAGGACATGTCCAAAACTGATAAAAAAAAAAAAAAAAAGGAACGGAAGAACATAAAACAAATTCAAAATGAAAAGAAGAGTAATTCTAGGGCTACATTATAACATATATATATATATATATATATATATATATATATATATATATATCTATCTAAACTGTACCAAAATTATTTGATCCTAGCTACTGGCACCTGACATGTTTGAGAATAATTGAACACATTTATTCAGGGTCTAAAATGTCAGGGCTACTAGCGTGATGACGTGAGCAGACGTGTTAGAGGTGTGTCAAGGTATTGCGGGAAGGAGGAGGTGTATGGTCAGAAACAGTGTCTGACCAGAACAGTGTTCGTTTGAATGGAGCAGCACAGAAGGAAAGGTGACTGGAGGCTTCAAAGCGACTCAGAGGTGGTGGTTGGGGTGGAAGTCAGATAAAGAAGGAGTCAGAGTAGCCAGAGATCCGGGTGGTTGGTCGTGGAATTGGAGGAGGAAAGCCCTATAGGAAACTGGAGTACTGATGTAGGAGTTAGGGTGCTGGTAGAATAATGCTGGATTATAGAGGCTTAGTGGATTAAGACTATGTTGGAGGAAGTCATGAAGTTAAATAATTCTAAGAAGCAAACCTCAGGTACTCCAGGGGTGAAATGCTGGATATCTCAGAGGGAGGTGTTTTGCAGATAAACAGTGAGTGTATGCCATAAACAGGAGGCATTGTTAAAATTAAAAAAAACAGAATTCAAGGGAGAGAAAACTGGATGGTAGAGGGAGGAAGAAGGGGGAAAAAGACATGAAAGAAAAGTGCAAGCAGTGAAGAGGTGATTGAAGAAAGAAGGAAAAAAGCAAAATATAAAAGACAAAGCCCTCTCCCGCCTAATACAAATATGTCCCCTAAAAACTAAAATATAAGCCCTAACAGACAAAATCCATGAGCGGTTTTCATCCCCAAAGTCAATGGAAATTGGCAGGAAATCCTTACAAGGCCTAATTCTTTCTCTAGAAAAGTCTATATATGAAGAGGGAAATGAGATATCAAAATAAATATTCGAGTGAATGAGATAATGGTATCACAAGCACTGGATGAATTATGGGAAAAAAATAAAAACAGATCTGAATTCAAATATCAATTATTTAAATTGGAAAAAAGAGGAAGATCAGAGCTAAAATTGCCATGAAAGAGTATAATAAGGGCCCTTTTATTGCTATCTACTTGAAGAAGCCTGTTAAGGCGAAAAGCGTTTAGATATTGTTCCTAATTTTAATAATAAAGAAATTTTATTGGCATAAAACACTTTATTGCCATTTTCTTTCTTTTTTACCTGATTTTACATATATTGGATATTTTATAAGAAGTGCAAAGAATCCATAGGTGGGGATTATACCATTATATTACGTGAGTAGTATACTTTACACCCTTTTAATTTTAGATTATATTCAGTGAGCACTATATATTCTATTCTTTTCTTCTGGGTCGCACAACATCAATTTGGACGTTGAATCTACGCCAGATACTCAGCTATCAAACTCTACTCCGTATATCCTTGAAGTGGGGATCATTCCACTTTACGTGCACAACATCAGAGCTGATTTTAAGCTCTGAAAAGTGTGAGTAAGACTGATTTTATTTATATTTATTTTATTCATCGATTTACTGTGCCATTGGAGTTTTGTTTTATTCTTTTTCCCACATATGCTGAACTCCCAACCTTTGATTGTAAAGACATGATCCTATCTACACCCTAAGAATATCTCTCTACACGTGGGACCTACCTTTACGGACTGTGATAAGTTCACCTTTTGGACTACTGCTTATTATCCATTTTACTTTATATTTTTAATATTTGACTGTGATAAGTTCACCTTTTGGACTACTTCTTATTATCCATTTTACCGAATATTTTATTATTTTATCTTATATCCTTACATTTTATTTTAAGTATATATTGTCTTTTATATACTTTAGGCGCACCCTCCTCTCTCTGTTTGCTCAATGATTTAAAGCACAGGTATCTCAAATTTAGTTATTCAGATGGAAGAATTTAAACTACTGAGAAAAGACTGTGAAATCCTTCAAAAAGGAAATCAAAGTATAAATGAAACCCTTTACAAAACAGAATTAAAGCTAGCAGACCTGGAAAATAGGTAGAGAAAAGGGAATCTAAGGATCAGGGGTGTCCCAGAGGAGATTAAAAATGACCAATTGGAAGATTTTTGTAAGAAAATGATAGCAAGTATTATAGAGGAAGATAAAATGGGGTATTTTCTATTTGGGAAAACTGCACAAAATTCCCAAACCCAAAGAGGCGGCATTTTCTGACAAACCAAGAGATATCATTGTCTGTTCAACAACACTTATTTGAAAGATTTATTCTCAAGAGAACTCAGGAAAAGACATATCCCAGAATTATATAAAAATATAAATTTGTTTACAGATCTCTCATTGACCACCAGGCTGGAAAGAAAGAAATTCAACGAAAGCACCCAATGCCTGAGAAACAAAAACATAACATATAGATGGCTACATCCGACAAAAATTATGTTCAGGGTGGACAATCAAACCTTCATTTTTGATGACCCTGAAAGAGCAAAAATTAAGTTGAAACAACTAGGCTTACTGGAAAATAAAGGGAACGACCAAGTCTAAAATGGAGAAACACTTGATAAATGTATTCATGAAGACATCTGAAAGATTACATTTAGTAATAGAGCTCCTTATCTGTAACCCAATACTCGCACATGACTGATCTCTGATTGGAAATGGTTCAGAGATATTTGCCCAGGACAACATTAAGTGATGGGCTCCTAGAAATTATGAATGAATGGTGTGAATGTGGATGGTTGTTTAGTTGGAATAGGGTGGTCTATCTGGGACAAGGGGGGAATGGAATGGTCAGCAAAAACTCAGTAATAAATAGGACATTTGTGGTTAAGTAACAAAACCAATGAATCTCAAACTGGTAACAATTAATTGCAAGGGACTAAACTCACCGCAAAAAAGAGCTTTCCTTTATGATTCATTAAAAAAAAGAGAATATCTATATTTGCCATACACAAGAGTCACATTGGAACAGTGCAGGTTCTAGTTAGATTGCATGATCAAAAAAAAGAGGGGTAGCAATAATGATCTCTAAGGATATTGCTTTTGAATACATATTGAATACATATTTCAAGATTCGGACATTAAAGGAAGATATATAAAGTTATTCTGTATACTGAATGATAAGATCTATACTTTGGTAAATTGCTACGCTCCCAATGATTTGCATATAAAATGTTTCAATTCTCTAATCGAAAGGGTGGAAAGGTATTCAAAAGGTGTATTGATAATGGGCGGGGGGATCTAAACTTTATTGTCGATATGAATCTGGATAAAAAAAAAAAATAATGAAAGGAAATAGATTACACTATAGCATCAAATTTTATGAGGACATTTTTTCTAAAGTTCTATATAGGAATAACTTATACGATATATGGAGAACTCACCATCCATTTCAAAGGGATTATATTACCTATATTTATCTTTATTTTCTGCCCGGACCTAGGTCCTAGGTGCCACCATCTTTGTGTGAGTAGATGAAGTCCCTGTGGACTTCTGCCCACACTAGACAGCGCTGTGAAATTCTCGCGCATGCCCAGTTAAACACTTGGGCATTCGAACTGGAAGTTAATATTTTCATTGATTCATCAGAAAGATGAATAAATGAATAGAAATTTCAAATGAATAAACAAAGACCTCTTCGTTCGTTCGGTTTATTACAAGGAGGGAACAGTTCCTTCCTTGTAATATGTAAAACTAAAAGCGGCAGGGAGCAGTGCTGCCCACGACTTCCTAAGCCCCACATGTCCTCCCTCACACTATGGGGGTAAATATGACCCCCATATTAGCATAAGGGAGATTGAAATCTCCTGAATGCCCCTACTCGCTATACGCGAGTAGGGGCATGTCTACTAAACAGAAGGGGGACCTAGCGACCTATTGTTCCCCCCCCGGCCCCCGCCCATTAGTGGCAGGTGGGAGCCCTGAATGAAAATGGGGGGGACCTATTGTCCTCCCCCCAGGCTCCACCCATGAGTAGCAGGTGAGAACCCTGAATTAAAATGGGGGGTGGACCTATTGTCCTCCCCCCTGGACCCCATCCATGAGCAGCAGGTGGGGGCCCTAAAGGAAAATAGGGGGTGGTCCAACCATGGGTGATGGGTGGGGGCTTTAAATGACAATGGGAGGTACCTATTGTCCACCCCCCCAGCCTCCACCCAAAAAAATTAAATAAATTCCTACCTACCCCCCTCACCCTAAAAATAGTGAGGGGGGGACAATAAAACAAAATACCTGTAGCGGATGGCCCTGTGCTCTCCTGAACAATTCATGTATTTCTATGCATTTGTGTGAAAATGACAAAGTCTATGTATTTGATGTATTGGATTTGTCTGAATGTTAGGTAGTTTCATTCCCTTAGTTGATTCGAATGAAACTACCGAACAGTCAGACCTCCCATGTGTGAAGTGTGTTCTCAATTATCCGTTGCAACATTGTTGCGAACGGGTAATTGGCAAGTGAAGTAGCCGTCCTTTGTTCTCGGGGGTGGCCGCCATTCGAAAAACGAACACGTGGCGGCGGCCATTTTAAAACTCCCGAACAGCGGTGTTTTGCTGTCGAGTGTCTGGAACTCAAATCGGACACTCGACTAGGCGAACACCGCTGAAACCTCCACAAGCCCGGTCCGTTTGGTTCCTAACTACCGAACGGCCCCTCGTTCGGTAGATAGAAAGAACCGAACGAGGGGATTCAGGCGAACCCTCCCTAGCCTCTATAGCTAGAGGCTTTCGTGCAGTTTGTTCCCTTACTCCAGGACCGACCGCAGGGCCCATTCGCATGGAACCGCATTCGGCTGTCTCAGTCAGTGCGGTCGGTCATTTTATTCCCTCCATAGATTTCCCGAACCACTGGTCTGATCTGGGTGATTTTTGGATATGTTGTTCACCCAGATCAGGGCTATCAGGGGGTGTAGGATTTAAAGGGGTACCCCTACGTTTCGGGGTACATCCAGAAACGGGGGGAATTACTATACTGGAGAAGGGTGTTTATGATGCTGGCTGAGGGGAGGAGATGTGTGGGAGGTTACCAGGACAAGATTTGCTACTATACTAATGATTGTAAATCCCACCCTTGCATGGGAGCATGCTTTAAAACGACAGTGTGGATTAAAGATTTCAGTTCTGCTCCTGAAACTGTGTGTCCAGTTATTGGGATTTCTGTTGGGATATTGCTGTTATTTTACCTACTGGAAACCTTGCCTGTGGATTTACTATTTACTTGTTCCTGAGCCTCACTTGGATTATAAGCGGAGATAACCTGGGGAATATTGCATCTCCGCTACAATACCTGTAAATAAAACTAACTTACCATTTGAAGTGTCTTCTTTTTTAAAAAAAAACTTATTTTCAGCCCCAAAAAATGCCAAATAAAAAATCCATAATACCCGTCGAATTTTAGCTCATAACCCTCTGATTGGTTGCTTTCAATTTGAAAAGCAACCAATCACAGTGTTATGAGTCAAATTACACAACATGGTAAAATTCCAAAGAACTTTCCCACTCTGTGTAAAATGACACAAAGCATTCTGATTAGTTGGATTTCAAGTCAACCAATCAAATTGCTGCGACAGGTAAATGTAGAGACTTATCTCAGTCTCTTCATTTACCAGTCAGAGCACTCTGATTGGTTGGCTTAAACCAACCAATCTGAGTGCTCGGAGCCTAATTCCAGGGCCTTTCCCCGCCCTGCAGAGCTCAGTCTGCACCATGACCTCCATGGGTGAACATGGATTATTTTTTTATGGTCAGTATTTAAAAAAAATTCAGAATGCTTTTCAAATTGAAAGCAACCAATCAAAGGGTTATGAGTCAAAGTTCTACAGATATTATGGATTTTATTTGGCCTTTTTGGGGCTGAAAAATAGGTTTTTAGTAAAAAGACATCAAATGGTAAGTCTGTTTTATTTACAGGTATTTCATTTTATTGTTCCCCCCTCACTATTTTTAGAGTGAGGGGGGTAGGGAGGATTTTTTTTTTCATTTTTTTTGGGTGGGTGGTGGGGACTAGGGGCTTGGGGACCCCTAGTAATCTGGGGGGGGTTACATTTAGACAATAGGTCCCCATTAGGTCCCCCCATTTTCATTTAGGGCCCCTACCCGCTGCTCATGGGTGGGGGCCGGGGGGGGAGGACAATAGTGTACCCCAACTGGGTACCTCCGCCAAAGGACCACTTCCTAGCTGGATCAGGGGACAAACCGCAGCACTTCTTGCCCTCACTAGCCGTAACTTGACTGGGGCCCTGTAACCGCCACCTCCTTCCTGGATCCGAAGGGAAAATTGGCTCTGACACCTCCAGGCACTGGACGACACTCAGTCCTGGAAACTCTGGAACTGCATGAGGAATTAGCTCTAGTCCCTACAAGGACTTTCCCCTTTGAATCTCCTGAAAGCTGGAACAGCAGACACAGAAGCAAGACACAGTTTTGGAGTGTAAGCAGGAATCTGAAGTTTAATGGGACACATTGGCCTTTTTTACAATTTTCCAGGCCAGAGGAACACCCCCTGGACCTGATAGGGCACAGGAACACAAAGGACATAAACCAATCAGAACAAACGTCCAGTCTGTGACACGCCCATGTACAGCACACATTCTCTCCCCTCTGCTTAGGAGATAATTGAGTAAAGTCCTGTAAGTAACTCAATTATCGCCAGGCAGAAAAAACTAATTTTCACAAAGTTCAGAAATTACCCCAAAACAT